GGGGGGTGGGGGAGAGTCTCAAAGCAATCTTACAGTAACATTGGAAGAACCAATTGATGAAGGAGTAAAACGGTAGTAACGCCGTAACAGTGAAGGGGGAAATGAGTGAAATAATATTGGGAGGAAAAACTGTAGCCAATTATTTCTGACAGCTCCGTCTGCTTCCTTCTTGGCTGCAAAGCCGGCGCTGTGCTTCTCTGTCTAAACCCAATTGCCTTCACTGTCAGGAGGAGACGGCCTTGGTTTGCCCTCGTCCAGCTCCTTTGCGGACCGGCCTGTCTCCCGCCGGGCAAGCAAATGACCCTCCCGTTTTGGAAAGACATCCGGCAGGGGTTCCGTATTTGCCTTTCTCTCAGATGATAAACAGCTCTTCTTCCAGGAGGGAGATGTAGGGAGATAATAATTGAAACCTGGGGGAAGAGAGACGAACCGTCTGGCATCTCCTATGTATGGGGAGAGCGAGGAAGAAGAAGGCATGAAGGACAAACAGAACACAATGAGCAGGGGAAATAGGCCCCCAAAAGATATTTCATTTAACCTGGGAGGATGATTTATCTATCTATTTTGTGTCAAAAGCATTGCATACAGAAGTATAAGACTGATAAGACTTTGGCAGGAAAAACGAAATGCAAAGATACAGAATGGGGGACGATGCCTGGTTTGAGAGCAGTAGGTGTGAAAAAGATCTTGGAGTCCTCGTGGACAGCAAGTTAAATATGAGCCAACAATGTCATGCGGTGGCAAAAAAAGCCAATGGGATTTTGGCCTGCATCAAGAGGAGCCTAGGGTCTAGATCCAGGGAAGTCATGCTCCAGATGCTCTATTCTGCCTTGGTTAGACCACACCTGGGATGTTGTGTCCAATTCTGGGCACCACAATTGAAGAGAGAGATTGACAAGCTGGAATGTGTCCAGAGGAAGGCGACTAAAATGATCAAGGGTCTGGAGAACAAGCCCTATGAGGAGCGGCTTAAGGAGCTGGGCTTGTTTAGCCTGAAGAAGAGAAGGATGAGAGGAGACATGATGAGAGCCATGTATAAGAGGAATCCACAGGGATGAAGGAGCAAGCTTGTTTTCTGCTTCCCTGGAGCCCAGGACACGGAACAATGGCTTCAAACAACAAGAAAGGATATTCCATCTGAACATTAGATCTTATAATTGCTGGTGATTAACCAGCTCTGCTAAACCTCCAACCCAGTAAAGTAAAAGCCACTAAGGCACAGCCAGGTTCATTTTATTGTGTTTCAATGCCTGTGTTGCTCACTACCTTTCTCATTCTTCCTGAGCTGGAGTCAGATTATACTTGCATTTACAGCCGTGGCATCCACTGTGTTCTGGGTCTACAGCGTATGAGTTATTTGTTGGGACCACACCGTCTTTGTGGCACTCAGGATAGGTTTGTTTTGATGCCCCAATCTTGGCTCATGACATGGATGCATTGATGTGCCTTGGCGAGAGGGGCTTGCATTCCAAGCCCTCCCACAACAGAAGCGTAGAAGGCAAGGAGAGAATTTGAATCGTCTCTTCCAGGATAAGGAGGGGAAATGCTGTCCTTGCAAGGAGACTGTGGTATGGGGAATAAGCCGACAAGGGACTCTGGCTACCTTGAGCATCAGCACAGGAACATAACACAAGGAATAATAGTATTTAGCGCCTCAGACAATGTCTGGTCGTTTAAGCATTCGTATTGATAAGACAAGTTGCTGGAAGCCTTGTATATTACGGAATCATTGTTGTTAAGAGCATGGCGAATGGTGTAGAGCAGTGATTTCCAGGAAGATACGAAAACCCGGCTGATTAGCAACCCGGAGGCATCCGCTGCCCTTGAGCTCCTCTATTTGAAAAGAGGCGACAAGAGCAGTGTTTCGTTTAGGGGGAATGGCATGGAGAAGAAATTACTGAGTTTGATCTGAGCTTTTTTGGACTATCAATCCCAGAATCCCCTTTGTAGCATAGCTATGCTGAGAATAATTGTAGTCCCAACACTAATAGGGAAATTTCTGCAAGTCTACAAGGGACTGTTTTTCCAATTCCCCTTCAGCCTTGCAGCAGTTGAGCACGCCGTCCTCAGTTGATTTTCCCCCTTTTCATATTATGTTTTGAGCAGCCAGATAGGACAGTAAAAAGGGTCTCTGTTTGTGCCTGATCCTCTTGTGTATGTAGCATGGCTATTATAGGGTTGTTGTAGGTTTTTTCGGGCTATATGGCCATGTTCTAGAGGCATTCTCTCCTGACGTTTCACCTGCATCTATGGCAAGCATCCTCAGAGGATGCTTGCCATAGATGCAGGCGAAACGTCAGGAGAGAATGCCTCTAGAACATGGTCAATATAGCCCGAAAAAACCTACAACAACCCAGTGATTCTAGGCCATGAAACCCTTCAACAATACATGGCTATTAGAACCCCTGAGAAGGGCCAGAGATTGTTCCTCGCTGCTTCGTTGTACTTTCTTCATGGATGCAGGCCTTGAGCCTGATGACAGATTTTAAATGCAGTCGTTCCAGATTTGGGAGGAGGAATAAACCAGCCGGGACAGATCCTTCAGCCAGACAGGTCGCCTGTTATAAACCAGCAAAGAAAGAAGCGCCTCCGGTTACCTTGCGTTGGCTTTTATTTCTTCCATTTGACTAATGTTGACGATGGAAGCATTTCAGTTTTCAACTCCACTCTCCATCAGTTTGACTTTTTCTGCATTGCATTTCAGTTTGACTGGCTCTTCAGCCAAACTAATTAGGATTGGTTGCGAGATCTTCATTCCTTCCTTATCCTAAACAAAGCACAGCTGTCTCAGATTTGATGCTATGATTTTAGAGAAAGGTGCCCCAGATTTGTGGAAGAGAGATTCAGAAGAGTATGGGCAACCAACCTGCACCCATAAACGGTTCCGGCCCAATTTACCTGCCCGAATGCATCTCTCCCTATGAACCATCTAGGCCAGTGGTTCTCAACCTGGGGTCCCCAGATGTTTTTGGCCAACAACTCCCAGAAATCCCAACCAGTTTACCAGCTGTTAGGATTTCTGGGAGTCGAAGGCCAAAAACATCTGGGACCCCAAGTTGAGAACCACTGATCTAGGCGCTTAAGATCGTCTGGAGAGGCCCTGCTCTCGGTCCCGCCCCTTTCGCAGATGCGATTGGACTTGAGAGAAAGAAAGAAAAAAGGGAAGGAAGGAAGGAAAGAAAGAAAGAGGGAGGGAAGGCTGGCCACAGCAATATGTGGCAGGTACAGCTAGTAGAATTATAGTCATAGAATCATAGAATCAAAGAGTTGGAAGAGACCTCATGGGCCATCCAGTCCAACCCCATTCTGCCAAGAAGCAGGAATATTGCATTCAAATCACCCCTGACAGATGGCCATCCAGCCTCTGCTTAAAAGCTTCCAAAGAAGGAGTCTCCACCACACTCCAGGGCAGAGAGTTCCACTGCTGAACGGCTCTCACAGTCAGGAAGTTCTTCCATGTTCAGATGGAATCTCCTCTCTTGTAGTTTGAAGCCATTGTTCCATTGCGTCCTAGTATCCAGGGAAGCAGAAAACAAGCTTGCTCCCTCCTCCCTGTGGCTTCCTCTCACATATTTATACATGGCTATCATATCTCCTCTCCGCTTTCTCTTCTTCAGGCTAAACATGCCCAGCTTAAGCCACTCCTCGTAGGGCTTGTTCTCCAGACCCTTGATCATTTTAGTCACCCTCCTCTGGACACATTCCAGCTTGTCAATATCTCTCTTGAATTGTGGTGCCCAGAATTGGACACAATATTCCAGGTGTGGTCTAACCAAAGCGGAAAAGAGGGGTAGCATTACTTCCCTAGATCTAGACACTATGCTCCTATTGATGCAGGCCAAAATCCCATTGGCTTTTTTTGCCGCCGCATCACATTGTTGGCTCATGTTTAACTTGTTGTCCACGAGGACTCCAAGATCTTTTTCACACGTACTGCTCTCGAGCCAGGCATTGTCCCCCATTCTGTATCTTTGCATTTTGTTTTTCCTGCCAAAGTGTTGGAAGAGACCACATGGGCCATCAAGTTTATTTCTTTATTTACTTAAAACATTTATATTCCGCCTTTCTCACCCCAAAGGGGACTCAGGGCAGAGCACAGCATATACACGGCAAACATTCAATGCCGGGACACAGATTCACATACAAGTCCAACTCCCTGCCATGCAGGAAAAGCACAAAGTCCTCTGGACACAAATCTGGCTTCTCAATGTCCTCCTTGAGCTGCAGAGCCCAGAACAGGAGCCCTGGTGCCAGGTGAGGAGCCAAAGCAGAATAGACTAAATCTGGATGCAGATATTATGGATCCAGCCTGGAATTGCATGGGCTTTTTTAGACATTGCGTCAGGGAAGGAGGACAGAATCAGAGGTGATGGCATTATCTTCTCAGCTCCTCTTCCACACATTTTTGCCTCTTGACATAAATACATGCATCATAGGAAAGAATGGAATTGGGCAAAAGCCACACCTGGGAAGAGCCAAACTCCAAAAATGCATGCCTCCTGTGTCTTGGCTTATTAGTTGGACGGCTTCCTTTGTGGAAGAATGGTTCCCTTTTCTCTTCTATACTGTTGACTCAAGCTGTCACACGTATACCCAGAATGTGCGTTGCCTTGGTCAGAGGCCGTTATTTCAAAACCTGTGGCTTCCTTGCCAGCTGCTTCTGTTTTGATGGCCTGCCGTTCTTCTTTCTGGAATATCTATGGCTGTGACCATTTCTCGAATCCTGAGTTGTATTCTCTTTCTGTAGATGAGCTATTCTTTTCTATACTTTTTAAATATATATATTAAATTAGCATTTTAAAGAGGAAACTGGTGTTTTTAGTCCGCAGACACTTGCTGCACAAGCCTGAAGATTGCTTTTGATGACCTAGACAAGCATTCAGTTGCTGCTCTCATGAGACTCTCTTTCAGAGCTACCAGTTTTTGAACAGGTTGAACCATTTGCATGTGTCATTGTGTGTGTGTCTTTGTGAAAAGCCACCTTCCCTTCTGTCTTGCAGGCCCTGGAGATGTACAAAGACGACTGGAACAAGGTTTCGGAGCACGTTGGCAGCCGCACCCAGGACGAGTGCATCCTGCACTTCCTGCGCCTGCCCATCGAGGACCCCTACCTGGAGAACTCGGACGCCTCCCTGGGGCCCTTGGCCTACCAGCCGGTGCCTTTCAGCCAGTCGGGGAACCCGGTGATGAGCACCGTAGCCTTCCTGGCCTCTGTGGTGGACCCCCGCGTGGCCTCGGCTGCCGCCAAAGCTGCTTTAGGTGCGCCATCGTTGCCTTCTTTTCCCTCCGGCAATCTTGTCTGAGAAGGTCTTAATGTCACGGATGGGAGCAAAGGCTTAGGCTGAGGATTTGGGGGGGAACCCACCCGTCCCTCCATCATGGAAAGGACCTAGATGGGAATTAGCTGAGCACTCTTTGGGAGGCTTAAGCAAACCTGGTGCCGCACTCCGGCCCTTTTGGAGAAACCACTCCAAGCCTGCCTTCCTCCCTCTTGCTTTCTGTCATTCCTCTTTAATTGGCTAACGTTTGCAAAGCGCTGCCTGAGCCAGGCGCTACCTCCAGAGCCAAGCGTTAATTTGCCAGCATGGTCGTTCAACAAATAACTTCAAAAAGCCCCCGTTCCCCTATTATGAATCCTTCAAGTTCCTCTGTCAGCTCCTGGTCCTGGTTTGGATTTCACGAAGCCTTTCCCAAGATCCTTCAACAGGAGATTGATGAATAAAGCCATCCTTGTGTTATTAATGCCTCTACAATGGCAACGTGCACATCGATGTTGGAAGGAGATCAGAAATAGATGTCGTTTTTTGTAACGACTTAATCGGGAGGAGGACAACTTCCTCTCCGGCGTCTTTGTCAGTCAGAGCATCCTTCCCCCAAAGCCGTTCGGCTTGCCTTCTTCCCTGCTCGGCTCCAAATGCCGGCGCTAAAATTATCCCCCTTTTATGCTTTCCCTCTTGATGTTTGCTCTCGCAGTGCTTCCCCGTTGCTTCTGGTCATTAATTTGGGGGTTCTCTGCCTCTCCCCCCCAACCCTGTCGTTCCACACCTCCCTTTGTTCTCCTCTTCCTTTAATGCCTGAGATTAACTCTTCTAACCTGCTGCCAGCTGCCTTCACCTGCTGACTCACCACTTCGTTGCTAAACAGATTTTCGGTAAACAGTAGCAGCCGTAGCACAACGTCAATCGGGCCAATTATGGCAAAACCATATTTAAGATTTTGTTTTGTTGTTCACCTGGCTTTGCCAATCTCGGCCACTCAACATGCAACCTTTTCTTCCTTGGCAGAGGAGTTTTCCCGGGTGCGAGAGGAGGTGCCGCTGGAGCTGGTGGAGGCCCATGTCAAGAAAGTCCAGGAGGCGGCCAGGATCTCTGGGAAAGTGGATCCCTCCTATGGCCTGGAGAGCAGCTGCATTGCAGGGACCGCCCCAGAGGAGCCGGAGAAATTCGGTGAGTCCCAAAGGTTGACCTCAGGTGCCTCTGCCCAGATAGGCTTGCCCTGGAAGTCATTTTAATACATTGGTCAGAGGAAAAAGCTGCGCGCCACTTAAAACAGTTCTGAGATCAAAATGGCAGGACCCTCAAAATGTTGCGGAGGGGTAGAGGTGATATGAAGCATCAGTTCTTTTTACTGCAATTTTCCAGTAAGAGAAAGGGTGTCAGAACTTTTACAGAACAACATTTGGACATAGAGATTCTATGTAACTACATTGGATTCACAAACAATTTACAGTTACACTGGCTAACAAGCAAACAAAGGGGAATTATATTTTGACTCAACATTCACACGCATGTACATGCATACAAATATTACCATATCCTTTTCTCCCTCCTTGGAGAAGAACCCATTAGGCCAGGCCTTGCTTCCCTGCAGCCTGCCAACACACAGTTCCAAAACTTTCATAACGCCAAAGCTTCTTTCCCTAAGAACAATGCCAAGAACCAGATCTGTTTTCCATACAGCAGACCCTGACTCCCTGCAAACGTATCATGGCTCCAAATTGCACTCCTTCCTCTTCCCTTGAGAAAGATGCCCAAAGTGTACAGAATGATGCTTTTCCATAGCAGAACTGACAGTCTCCATACACCATCTCTGTCCTTCCCATGGAGCAGAGAGTTAGGTGAACAGATCCATTGTCTGTCACAATATGAGAGTTATTAGAAAGTTGTGGGTGTTGAAGTCCAAAACACATGGAGGGCCCAAGTTTGCCCGTGTCTGGTGTAGCATGTTGATATTCCGTATCCCACATCCTTGAAGCATTTTGAGTTTTGGATATTTTTGGATTTTGGAGCTCTTGTTCATACATATAAATACATAATGAGATATCTTGGAAACCTCAAGGAGGGGCAAGCTTGTTTTCTGATATTCTGGAGACTAGGACACAATGCAAGAATGGGTTCAAAGTGCAGGAAAAAAGGATTCTATCTAAATATTAGGTATTATTTCCTGACTGTAAGAACTCTGCAGCAGTGGAATACGGTGCCTCAGAGTCCGCTGGAGTCTCCTTCCTTCTCTGGAGTTTTCACGCCATGGCTACATCTGTCAGGAATGCTTTGATTGTGTCTCCCTGCCTGGCAGAAAGAAGGGGATTAGACTGGATGGCCCTTGGGGTCTCTTCCAGCTTTATGATTCTGTGGGACCCAAGTCCAAACATGAGATCTATTTGTACACATACATCTTATAAACATAGCCTGAAGGTTGTTTTGCACCCTATTTTTAAAATATTTTTGTGCACATTGAACTATCAGAAAGCAAAGGTGTCACTGTCTCAGCCACACAATTTTTTAGGTTTTGGAGTCTTTCGGATTTGGAATTCCAGATAAGCGATTCTCATCGTGTCATAGCATTCCTGACTTTTGTGTGAGTGTGTATGCATGCAAATAGCAAGATTAATTGCATTTCTGCACAAGACATAGGCATTTTTATGTTGTACTAGCCGTCCCCTACCACATGTTGCTGTGGCCCACATGGGGGTTTTGTGTGGGAGGTTTGGCCCAATTCTGTCGTTGGTGGGGTTCAGAATGCTCTGTGATTTGTATTGTCGAAGGCTTTCATGGCCGGAATCACTGGGTTGTTGTAGGTTTTTTTGGGCTGTATGGTCATGGTCTAGAGGCATTCTCTCCTGATGTTTCACCTGCATCTATGACAAGCGTCCTCAGAGGTAGTGAGAATGCTCTGTGATTGTAGGTGAACTATAAATCCCAGCAACTACAACCCCCAAATGTCAAAATTCTATTTCCCCGAAACTCCACCAGTGTTCACATTCGGGAATATTGAGTATTCTTGTAGAGTTTGGTCCAGTTCCATCATTGTTTGAGTCCACAGTGATCTTGGATGTAGGTGAACTACAGCTCCAAAACCAAAGGACACTGCCCACCAAACCCTTCCAGTATTTTCTGTTGGTCATGGGGTGTGCCCATTTTGGTTCAATTCCATCGTTGGTAGGGTTCAGAATGCTCTTTGATTGTAGGTGAACTATAAATCCCAGCAACTACAACTCCCAAATGACAAAATCAATTTTTTGAGTGAAGAACATACATTGGGTTGTTAGGTGCCTTGTGTCCAAATTTGGTGTCAATTTGCCCAGTGGTTTTTGAGTTCGGTTAATCCCACAAACGAACATTACATTTTTATTTATATAGATTTCCTACACCGAATGTATTCATCGGCTTGAAAAAAATGATGGGAAAGATAGCATCCCTTAATGCATTTCTTGAGGATCTTTGCGGTATGAGAAGCATGCAGAAGATGCACCTCACCGGTTTTACGCTGTCTTGTAAACAACGTAATTATTCTCACAACAGTCATTTGTGGTATGAGTTATTTATTTTCTCTCTGAGTTAGTATTAGACTTTCCCTTCCATTTTGAGTAATAGCCTTAACACTGCAGGAGTGTAACTCAGGGAGTGGCATCTGCAAGGCCAGGAAAGGTAGATTTAGGGTCAGGTTGGTGGTTCCTGCTCACAGGTGGGTTGTGTAAAGCAAGGGAAAGCTCTTGTGGGAGAGAAGCCTGGCTTTGGCGAGTGCCGCTTCAGAGGAAGTAGGGCAATCGTTTCTTCTGTCTTCTGCTCACACAATAGAGGTTGACTGCTGTGTGGAAATACAATTACAGCGCTCCGTGGCGAATCTGTCCTTTCGAATTGGTCTCCTGCTAGGACCAAACTACTGTGTTGCCGTATGTGGGTTGGATTATCTGCTTTTACTACGTCCTCAAAACAACACCTAATGTGGTGAGAGGGGAGTGCTCAGGCTTAGAGCTGAACATTGGCGTGCTTTGAGCCGTAGACCAATCACCCCCTCTTCCTACCTTTGGTAATGGTTTGATGCACCTAGTTTACAGGCTATGCTGTCCCCCCTCCCAGTAGCCGCCCGCCTCTGCTTGCTCTTACCTTGTGATGTATTAAAATCATGCAATCCCACTCTTTGTCATAAGCTTTTAAGGCAGCGTGCAAGTCAAACAGAATCCCAGATAAATCATTTCTGCAGAATCAAAGATGAAGCCATCTCCTTCCTCCATCATTGCATGTGAATGGCAACCGCACCATTGCTGTCAGTTTCTGTCTCTAGTAAGACGCGTCAGACCTGCTGTGTGCTGATATTGAACAGTGACACTTCATCTCAGGCCTTCACACCTTGGGTTTCCATTTCCCTCCTGTCTCTCTCTCGGGGTTCGCTCCAACCACCTGAGGCTTCCTCCTATTCTCAGAGCTTGGGAGGAGCCCATCTGCTGGGGAACAGTCCTCTTTCCCTTGGGAAGGATCATGCTCCAAGATCCCCATCCGGTGCAACTGGTGGGATGAAGGGAGCAGGCATTGGGTGGGGGAAGCCTCGGCTCAGATTCCCCAGCTTGACTCACCTGGGAGCTGTGTAATCACAATGGCTTAAAGCAGTGCTTCTCAACCTGGGGGTCGTGACCCCCAGAGGGGTCGCTGGGCCATTTTTGGGGGTCGTGAAGGCACCTCGGTTGGCCCCGCCCTCTCCACCTCCTCAAAATGGCTGCCAGCCCATGCCAAGGAAACAGCCAGGCTTTTCAGGTCAACTCCTCCACCTTGCGTGAGGCCTCCCTCGCCTGCATCGCTCTCCCGCAGGCAGGGGCACGGGGCAGGCGAGGGAAGCCTCACACAATGAAAACACATCCTGCATATCACATATTTACGTTATGATTCGTAACAGTAGCAAAATTACAGTTATAAAGGAGCAATGAAAATAAGCCCTATGAGGAGCGGCTTCAAGAGCTGGGCATGTTGAGCCTGCAGAAGAGAAGGCTGAGAGGAGACAGGATGAGGGCCATGGATCAAGGTCCCCCACTACCTTCTGCCAAACAAACTAGTCCAGTGTGGGCTAGGCAAAACTACGGGGAGGTGGATCTGTAATTGGTTAAATGGACAAACCCAGAGGGTGCTCACCAATGCTTCCTCTTCATCCTGGAAAGAAGTGACAAGTGGAGTGCCATCAGGAGGGTTCCGTCCTGGGCTCGGTCCTGCTCAGGATCTTGATTAATGATTTAGATGAAGGGCTAGAAGACATGATCATCAAGTTTGCAGATGACACCAAATTGGGAGGGAGAGCCAATACTCCAGAGGACAGGAGCAGGATTCAAAACGATCTTGACAGATTAGAGAGATGGGCCAAAACTAACAAAATGAAGTTCAACAGGGACAAATGCAAGATACTCCACTTTGGCAGGAAAAACGAAATGCAAAGATACAGAATGGGGGACAATGCCTGGCTCGAGAGCAGTACGTGTGAAAAAGATCTTGGAGTCCTCGTGGACAGGAAAGGTAAACATGAGCCAGGAATGTGATGTGGCGGCAAAAAAAGCCAATGGGATTTTGGCCTGCATCAATAGGAGCTTAGTGTCTAGGTCCAGGGAAGTCATGCTCCCCATGCTCTATTCTGCTTTGGTTAGACCACACCTGGAATATTGTGTCCAATTCTGGGCACCACAATTCAAGAGAGATATTGACAAGCTGGAATGTGTCCAGAGGAGGGCGACTCAAATGATCAAGGGTCTGGAGAACAAGCCCTATGAGGAGCGGCTTAGGGAGCTGGGCATGTTTAGCCTGAAGAAGAGAAGGCTGAGAGGAGATATGATAGCCATGTATAAATATGTGAGAGGAAGCCACAGGGAGGAGGAGGGAGCAAGCTTGTTTTCTGCTTCCTTGGAGACTAGGACGCAATGGAACAATGGCTTCAAACTACAAGAAAGGAGATTCCATCTGAACATGAGGAAGAACTTCCTGACTGTGAGAGCCGTTCAGCAGTGGAACTCTCTGCCCCGAGGAGTGTGGTGGAGGCTCCATCTTTGGAAGCTTTTAAACAGAGGCTGGATGGCCATCTGTCAGGGGTGATTTGAATGCTTCTTGGCAGGGGGTTGCAAGTCGCCTCTGGTGTGAGAGAATTGGCCGTCTGCAAGGACGTTGCCCAGGGGACGCCTGGATGATTTGAT